AGGGATTTAATTGTTAATTTTTAAAATTTTTTTATAAATTTTAAATTATAAAAAGTTTAAGAGTGTTGATTATAAAAATATATATATATATATATATACACACGGTATGAATAGAGAGTTTGAAAAAAAAAAAAAGGTCAAATGGTTAAATAGATATTGACGCAGAATTCCATGACACCTCATGAGGCAATGACAGAGTTATGGAACCTTTTTCTTTTCATGTGAACGTAACAACTAGGAGTTAAAAAGGGGAGGGAAGCCAAATAGAAAACTATATGATTGGGAAAATGAAAGTTATGAATGGGAAATGGGGTATAAAAAGCCAGCTCTCACCTCTTCGAATGAGTATTCCACTTCTTTCAGGGTATTATCAGCTTTTTTGGCACCAAAGGACACAGGAGAAGCTGGTGTGACAGCCATTAGCATTGGAGCTGACACCGTGGAAGGAGTTGTAGGCACTGGGATTGGCACTGTTTTAGGGGTTCTGTTTTCCTCATCACCTCTGTAAGCTGACATTCCTGTGGCTGGTGTACCCATTGGCGTCTTGCAACGTGCAGCAACCTTACTCTGTCCATTATGTACAGTCTTCTGATCCTGGATATTTGGAATGTTGGTATTGGAGGAAACTGGGAAAGAGACAGGAGACAGAGGCTTTCGAATCACTGGCGATGCAACTTCATAAGCGTTTGGGGCACTGGAGATAGGCTTCTTTACTGACTGGCCAGGAATCTCTGAGTTCCTTCTAGCTGCAAAGTCAAATGTAAAACTTGTAGTGAGCAGCATTCTTCCCAATTTTCTAGCAGAAAATACTAGAGTTAAAGAATTATCACCAATTCACAAGGATAAGCTCTCCATTATTGAATCATTTTACATGAAATTGTTTTCCCATTGAAGGATATTGGAAGTCTAAATTATTTAGATGGGAAAAATGAGATCATTAATATATAAACAATTTACGGGAACATACCAGAGTGAGTTGCAAAACCATTGGTTTGCTGATGAGCTAATGAGCTCTTTCGATTCAAATATTCACCCTTCTTACTAGAATGCAGATGTATAGCAGGATTTTCAGGTTTTGGGTGTTGAAGTAATGCTCCACCCAGGGAGAATTTCCGGTTATTAGCTACTGCTTCTGATGTTCTAGAAACCTTCTTTCCACTTTTTGAAGGACTGGGTTTTGACCCATATCGTGCTTCCTGCTCTGCCATCAGCTGTCCTTGAAGTCTCTTTTGGTCCTAAAATGAACAAGCAATTCAAGCAACACATATGGGAATCAACGAAATGTCTCCATAACCCGACTAATTTGTGGAAAAATAAGGGAATCCATACCCTTTGCCTCTGCTTTTCCTGTTCTTTCTCTTGCCTGAGGCTGCTATACTGTTCGAGAATTGAGATAAGTTGTGCCTAGTTTTAGAGCCAAAGAAGAAACATCACAAAACAAGCAAAATGCTTGGATAACAAATAAGCATCGTTCTAAAGTCAGGTTAAAAAAAAAGCTGCATTATGCCAAAGCATAGAATCGAAACAAGATTTGATCAAAGCAAGTATTGACATCAAGTGGCTAGTCTTGTCCAAAAATAAATAAATAAATAAATAAATCTATTGGATCATAAGTGCTTACTCCATCATATAAGAAAACTGTTCCATGTTCTATCTCCCAAGCTTCTGTTTTTGAAATCAATGCCTCTACCATTGCTGAACCAAATCCAAGAAAGACGATGGAACTCATAAATTTGATCGTTTAAATTATATCAAACATAATACTTTTCCCTGGGCTCTATTAGCTCCTTAACTGCATAACAGATGTACTGGAGTAGAGAATTGCAAGTATTTTAACCAATACTTTAAAACATAAAACCTTCATTTTTATGGGTCAAATTATAAAGATCTTTACCAGGAATTTTGTTAACCATTGCGCGGGCTTTCTCAGCCCTTTTCAAGGCAAGGTGTGCTCCTCTTCCAGCATTATACCGATTATCATCCTGAAATTTCAACAATATGTCACTGCACTGAATGTATAGTGGATAGAGAAGAGATAAATAGAAGTCAAAGATTAACAGTTGCCCCACCCTATTGTACTCTTCCAGCCAGCTCTCTTCTTCACAAGCTGATAACCATTTCTCCACCTTCTCAAGTATTTCTTTCCTGCTCAAAGCTTCTTCTTTAACCTTCGAAATCTGAAGTTCAATTTGTTCGATTAGATACATAGGGTCAAGGGCACCTGCAAAATGGCCGTTGAATAATGAGAGGAGAACAATGTCAAAGCTGATGTCTCTTCTGGGAAACTAATCAAGTTAAATGTAACATGAATACAAATGTATGTATGTGTCATCATAAATGTGAATTTCAAGGGGCAATTAAAATGTCAAGACTCCTTATAAAATTATTTAAATATCTTCAATGAATTAAGGTACAAGAAAGGTTCATTAAATGTATTTAAATAATTTTATAGGGAGTCCATCTTGATTTTCACTTTTCTCATAAATAAATGCAATACCTTGAGAAAAAAGCTTTCAGGTCATTAAATAACCCAATAAACATTTCATTTAACATCACAATCACAGAGCAAAGCAAGTGGAGATATTACTTCATAAAATAAAATTTATATGAACGGCAATATGCACTTAATATTTACCAGTCTCCATGGCTTTCATTGAATAATCAATGGAATGGAGGGGTTCTGCAACCATGTGAGTCTTCTTGCATATATCCTCTAATTCCACTTGCTTTTTCAAAACAAATTCTTTCATTCTACTTACTTTGAGCTGCTCAAGCCTCGACTCCTCCACCTCAACCTACAGAAGATTGGCCAAGTTAAGAGTTATAAACAATTAACTCTCAATAAAAAAACTAGGTGAAAATTGACATGAAATCAATGATTACAGCAATACTCTCCACTGCCATAACAACAGATAATAACATTCTCCACTGCTAACATTCTGAAATAGCTTCTCACATTTTTAATGTTCTTCATGGAAAGCATTCCAGGCTCAATAATTTCAGGTTCAGAAGCAGCAATTTGACTGGTAACATTCTGAAACATCTGTTGCTCTACTACTGGTGTATCCATCAAATGCCAAAGCTCCAACAAAGAAGCTGCGAGATCTTGAAGCTGATACAAACACAGTGCAAAAAGTTAGAAGTCATGAGCAGAGTTAAATTTTGGTGACAAAATCACAAAAGCTGCCAACCTTCAACATTCTTTGTATCTTGACATCCCGCATGCTTTGGATCTTTGCTGCCAACCGAGCAATTGTACCATCACTTACATCTTTTGTTCCCTTGGAATCATCCAAATTAGGATGAATTTTACAAACTGTTTCCTTGAAATCTATATCCAGAACCAAGCAGAGTGACTTAAGGTTGTTGAGGTGATCCTGCACCTGATTCAGACGGGTTATCTGCAAGTGATGTAAAATACATACAATTAGAAAGAAAAAATAACATTCGACATGCAATAATCTTGACAACATGGTTTAACCATTCCCTTCCTGGATTACTTTTCAATGTTTCGTACCCCCTAACTTCATAATCAAATGGCAGCATCAACAATGAATTCCCAACATATATTTTGACCATTTTCAAACTACATGAATGTCAAGCTACTTGCAGGACACGGCACAAAATTTCAACTTTGAATAGGACCATGACAACTATTAGCATTAGGGTACAGGAGAATGAAAAATAGAAATTGGACCTTCTCATTTTGTAGTTCACGCAATTCCCTACGTAACTCTTCTAGTCTGTGCACAGACATGTTAGTCCCATAAGCATCCACATCATAACAAATATCTTCCCTGAGCCCAAAAATCTCATTTGATATTTTCCGTAACTGATCTAGAACTTCAACAAACTGGTTCTTTCTCTCCACTTTCTGCCTGCGCATATCCTCTAACAGTGGGACAATTGTTTGAAGCTCTTCCCTGAGATTGCCTCCAGGCTTCCTATCACGCTGAAAGCACAATACAAATAAGATTAAATCCTTCAAACTGAAGAAAAAATACAAAATTTAGAGACTATCTTTCTCATCTTAATTCCACTTACATTCACTGGTTTCACGCCCAGTGAAGCAGAGATATCTGAAATTTCCTTCTCAGCAACCTCAACTTCTCGTTGCAACTTCGCTCTGCACTTTTTTGCACCGTCCACTTTTCTCATGTAAATTCTGAGGCATTCCTGTTCAATTTGAAGGAGCATTGTGTCCCTATCATCCTCAGGCTCCCCAACTTCATCCCAGATTTTCTGTTTTCCAAACACAATCAAATGCACAAAAAATTGAATTACATTACGTAGAACGAGATACTTTCAAGAGATCTCGGAAACATACCTTCAGTTCACAAAGAAGAGATCCGCATGTTGTTTCAATATGTGCAAACTGATCGCTGTAGTGATTCGACATGGATTCAACGATATCTGCGCGAGAGTGAAAGATAATTAGGCGAAAACTCAACGATTGGTTTAAAACAAAATCCGTTTGTTTCTTTCTTTTTTCCTTTCTTATTCTTCTCTCCATCCAAACAGATTCTTGGAAGATTAAGCTTTGATTTTAAAGAGAAAAAAACAAGAAAATTTCGATCCAAAAGAAGAACACATACCAAATTCTCTGAAATTCCTCTCTCGACGAGGGCTATCAGCCAACAAAAACGAGAGATCGCCAGATTCTGAGGGTATGATCGGCTGATTTTTCGAAGTTGATTTGTATGTGGCGGCGACACTGGAAATTGTAAATTTGTAACGCTTGAATTTTGAGGGAAAGTGCGAGGGAGGGAGAAAGGGGCGCGGAAGGAGACGTTATTTGGAGAAATGCACCCTGTTGACGCTGATCCTTGACACGTCATTGGTAAAAAGGTTGGCGTTCTTCTTTTTTTTTTTTTTTACAGCATTATTTAAATTTCAGGGGTCTTCTTAACGACGAAATTAAAAAGTAGGTTTTTTTAATTTCAAATGAAAGTATTTACAAATTCACTACTGTATCGAAAACAAAATCCAAAAACAATATTTTTTTTTATTTAACACCGGCATTTTGGTTACAAGAATTTTTACGGAACAATTTTATGGATTTTCTATTTGTAAATTTGTTAGTCAAGACCCACTTTCTTAGATGCTTTTGAATTCTTCCTTTTAAACTTAAGTAGATTCTCTCATCACCACTTTTAATTTGTAGGGATGTTAGAATATTACATTTATT